TCAATCACAGGACACACCACAAAAGAATCAGATGGAAACTATTGCCTATCGTGGTGCCCCTCACGAACTCAAAACCCTATGATCGTAGTTGGATGCGGCAATCAAAACAACGCCAAAGTTAGTAGTGCGAACGTGTAATTTCTTATTCGAATTTGGGTTACTTTCTTAAATATTATCATTACTGTTTATCGATTAGATTTTCCGACAAGATTCATCACAAAAATGGCTGCCTCATGAAATATTGGATGGACATATGATGCCTGTGTATGATGTTAGCTGGGCTCCCAGTATGGGAAGGTAAAATCGTATTATCAACTATATATAATCTGCTATCGTGTCAAATTTGTCAACTTTTTTCATCTAACTTACCTCTTAGGAGTTACCATCTTATTGCTACCGCATCTAAAGATCATCATGTTAGAATTTTCAAACTAGTAGATAACAAAAAAGATGGTTTCGACGTCACGCTTGTCGCCCAACTTCCAGATCACAATGTAGAGGTATGGATATTTTCAATATGACACAACTAATAGCGCCTTTTTATCGATAATATTCTGATTAATAAATGTTTTCTTCTTACTACACAGGTTTGGAAGGTTGAATGGAATGTAACGGGTACTATACTGTCATCATCGGGCGACGATGGGAAGGTTCGATTGTGGAAGTGTAAGTGATGTTCATTTACCAGTCAAGAAAATCAAAGATCTGTTTTCTAAAATTATTTTTCGTTCATATTTTAAAGATTCGCTTCAATCTGGAGAATGGAAATGCATGAACACTATATACTATGATCGGCAGCCAGAAAGTATGGAAATGTAAGGCAACTACTCATCATCATTGACGTTTTTTGAATCAAGAGATTTACATCACAATATAAATGGAAATCAAATTGTTTTTAATCATGAAAAATATTATCTTAACTAGTATTAAATAATAATATTATTGTTTTTATATCTTCATAATCTAAATTGATATTTATAAACTACTAATTTGTCGCTCAATCAATTTTTTTTAAAATTAACACTGTCAAAAGCATTGTCAATAACTTTGTTGTTTCCTGTATACTCCTTCAAGTGTTCACATACAGATTATATCTTTTTAATGGTTTTTTATAGTTACCTGCAACTATAGTTGACACCTAACTGTTCACGTTGATTAATAGGTTTAATACTGTTAGTAATAGTAGAACCATTAATGTAAAATACTTAAATTTACATAAAAAAATTTTTTTGAATGGCAAAAAAGTACAGATAAAAAAAAAAATATTATTTATTTATTTCTATTAAGAAATACATGAAACAACAAAAATCATAACAAGATGCATCCTTTGATTAAGACTTGGTTTGGGTCAAGTCATTTGATAAAGGTATTGTTCACTGCGATTTACTATTTACTATGACAGCGTGGTAGTTGGTGATCATATGACTAATCTCTACTTGAGTTTTGCATTATACCACATTGTGTAGTGTTCGAAAGAGATGATTGTGTTACGTAGTTTCAAATGATAGACATTTAATTTATTAATAACCATTTTTACTACTTTTTGCATAAAAAAAAAAATTTTCAAATTTCTTTTTTTTGGAATTATTTACATCAAGACCGTTTTGTTGTACAGTATTTTTTAGGTGTTCAGGATTCTGATTTTTTTTTGTTAAATTTACACGTACGCTTGTGTACGTCAAAGCAACTTTCTCCTTCCTAGATTTCCAACATACTAAACATAATTCCCCTGGAAAACCAACTCCACACGTTATCCTGTTCATTCTCCGATGAAGATGACGATTTTCGAGAATTTTCTGTAGTGGTTGTTGATAATGTCGACGATGAACTCGGACGTCGAAATGACAATTTTTCTGGTTGTTCCGAGGAAGAGTTGGAAATAGTGATTTCAGTCGAAGCCGAGGAGGCGATAACCGAAGTGATATCCATCATTTTTTTTACAAATATTTTGAAGAGGGTTTACGATTTGTGATTTTATTGGGATTATGATTTTGTCACTTTCTGAACTTTCTGAAGCAGTCAAAACCTCGATAATTTATACAATTCCTTATTCGAGATAAAACAATAGTATTGAGTTCAAATAATAGCTAATTATTCAAATTACGTATTATAGAAAGGAACAATAAAAAAAAAATGTTTCAAATGTTCAGAAAACCGAATTTGGGACAAATGTTTTAATCCAGTGGTCGTACGAATGCAATGATGATATTGTCCAAATGATAATAACAAAATTGATAAATTTTTAGTATGGAAATGTAATGATGCAATATTATTTTGATCAAGTAAATTAGATGCACGCCCTGAAATTGTCCTCCAATCTTTCTTGGTTGGGAAACTCTGCAAAGTCACCAGACATCGAAATTATATCACATGACAACCGCGTATACAAATGTAAATTAAAGATCAAAAAGAATCATTCATAGATAAAATAACAGGCCGCTATTTGTATAATTGGGGAGATGGCCGAGCGGTCCAAGGCGCCACGTTAAGGCCGTGGTCTCTTCGGAGGCGTGGGTTCGAATCCCACTCTCCTCATAAAAATTTTTTTTTTTTCCTGATCGGTTTTTCCGAATAAATTGAGGATCACTGTGGGTATTACGTAATATTCCCACTTAATAAAAAAAATATCGACACTAGTGATCATTTTGTAGCTCAATCGTCTTATCTCGAGGTTATAATTGCTAATTTTAAGCTAATATTTACTATTCTGCTACAGATAGATGGGCGGAAGCAATCGTAACGAGCGTGAATATACCAGTGGAGGCTCTTCAAGGACACGCCAAGACGACGCAGGCAATGCTTCAAGTAGTGCGGGGGAAGTTGGAAGGGACTTTGCAAATCGTTATGGGGTATGTTGATTTAAGCTGATTGGAAGCTGAGAACATTGACTAAAACTATGTCATCGTTGCATGACAGGGATTATTTTCCGAGAAAGATTGGAAGTGTCCGATGTAAGTAGCCATCCAAAGTACACGCTTTGTAGATTTTTGAGTTGTACAAACCTGATGCAACTTTTTGCAAACTTGGTCAGTTGTTCAAATATAAATTGGGCCAGACGAATAGAATGCAATCAATGCAAGACACCTAAACCTGGTTCGGAAACGACAATGGGTTCGCGAGAAGGTCGTGGAGGAGGGTTTATGGAACGAGACGAGGTGGTTGAATATCGAAGGTCACGAGATGCTGAAAAGGATGACGAATATGATGAATTCGGGAGGAGGAGGAAAAAAAACAGGGATTTTGGTAGCAACAATGGAGGTAGCAAGGATAATCGAGATAAAACGAATGAGAACAACATAGATGCTGAAGATGAGGATGATGAGGATGATGATCGGTGATTGGTCTTCCTATTGGATTTCTATTTGTTTACATAGTTATTGTTATAACAGCAACGAGTTATTAACATTTTTATCCGAATTTAAATTTGCTAATTCAAATCCTTTTCACATCGAATCTGCCAAATGATACTTATAAGTTGGGCTGCATGGAATGATATTATTGGGAACGATGAAAGCTCAAATGAGAAAGAAAATGGTAGAGATAATAAAAGCAAACAACTGTCCAGAGATTTGCGATCAGACAATCAATCTCGCAGACGTTCTTCACGGTCTCGATCACCATATTACCATGATCGAAGCAGAAGAAGTCGATCAATCTCGCAAGATCGTGGAAGATATAGGTCGAGGTCTCGGTCACGAGACCGGGACAGAGATAGAGACAGAAGGAGATCATATCGTAGTCGATCAAGGTCGTTATCTAGGAATAGGAAACGATCATCTTATAGGAGTCGGTCACGTTCAACTTCCAGAAATCGTAGGAAACGATCCACTTACAGAAGCAGATCGATATCAAAATCTAGATCCCGTGAACGCAGACGCTAAAATACATCAACATTTTGGGCGAGATTACCACTTAATTCCTGGGAGATGAAAACGAGATAAAAATATTAGGAATCTTTTGGATGGCACAAAATTTCACGTAAAAAATAAGACCTCCAAAGGTTGTTTTGCGTCCTTTTTTTTTTTTTTATCATTAAATTACGTATAGTACCTATAGCGAGTATCTGCCACGTTGTAAACAAGATTTCTCATTTTGTCGAAGCTCGCCAGACTCGCTTGGTAAACAATCGTCAGCTGATAATTTGTTTTTACAGTGATAACGACCAAAATATTCAACCATTTACGACAGTCGAAATAACTTCGCATTTAAGATTAAAAATTGCTCTTTATAATTGTAATAAACCTATTTTAATAATAGAATTTTTCTAATGTTATCGTCAAAGAAACAACTTTTTTTAATAATAACATTGTAATTAAACATTGTAATTTAGAATGCAAATTTTACAAGAAAATTAATATAATAATAGTCGACAGATTTATTACTTTTATCTTTTAAAAAATAACCATTATTCTCGAAGAATTGCAATAACCTCAACTATGTTCACAAAAGTTTTTCAAAATATTATTTAAAGTAATGGAAACCATAGAATTTATAATATAAACAACTTATTTAAAGAAATATAAAAATCATGCATTTTCAATAAACTTTAAAATAATAAACTTGATTAAATTATTTTACCAAATTTTATTTATAAATAAAAATTAAGTTATCATTATTGAACTTTATAAATGTATGTATTTTTATAAATACAATAAAATTATAATTTATAAATTAAAATATATAAGATTCAATGATATTTGATTAAAAAAAGTATTTTATAAAATCATTTTAATTAATATGTGAATCAATATTTAATAGTAAAGAATAATATCTATAAAAATAATAATAGTAAGTTAATAATATATTAAAGTCAATAATTTATAATATTTAATTATAATTCAAATAATCAAATTCTTGAATTATATATAGTAATATTAATATTTATTATTTATAATTCTATAATATATGGTTATTTGAATATTTAAAATATTGTATTTAATGTAAAGATCAATATATATTTTAAAAATATTTATAAACATGTATAATTTTTTTGTAAATTATTTATTATCATAAAAAAAAAAAAATAATATCAAAAAATTAACTTGGTTTATATAATTACATATAATTAAAAGATAAAAAATATGTATATATGTACTGTATATAATACTAATTATAGGTAAATTGGTTTTTTTAAAAAAATCAAATTTACTTCAATTGTTTTGAAAAATTAAAACAAATAGTTTTTGATTTTTTAAACTTTTTTAGATCTTAATAATATTTAAAACAAAATTAAATTTTAAAAATTTCTTTTTCAATATTTTTTTTAATTTGAAAATTTTAAAAATAACTTATAAATTAATAATTTATATAATTAAAATTTTTAAAAAATTATATTAAAATCTGAATTTTTTATATATTATGAATAAAAAATTTAATATATTTTAATAAAACCATTGTTAAAAAATAATATTTTAAAAAGTTTTTTTTTTTAAATTAAATAATTATGAAATTTTTTTTTTTAACAATTGTTTTATCAAAATATATTAAATTTTTTATTAATAATATAAAAAATCTAAATTTTTATATATAAATTTTCAAAATTTTTAATTATATAAATTATTAATTTATAAATTATTCTTAAAAAATTTCAAATTAATATTTAATATCTAATTCTTATTTAAATTTTGTTTTAAAAATTATAAAAATTCAAAAAAATTTAAAATTATAAGTTATAATAAATTATTTATTCTAATTTTTTAAAAACTAAATTACTTATAATTAATTTTTTTTTAATGACTGGCATACATCTTGTTTTGTTAGGTTATCTTTGTGCAATATATACAAATTCATATTATATAAATTTTCCACTGCTAATTTCCAAATA